TAAAACACTAACTAGAATGGGTGGAGAGTCCCAAGACACGGCGAGGCAGAGTGAGTAGAGTATTTCTGAAAAGAACTGGCTAAAGCAGCTTCAAAGAGTCCAAGGATTAGTAACAGCAAGAAGAATAACAACTCAAGAACACTGCAATCGGGTGCTGTGCTTCAATAACGCGCTGTTTTCAATTAAAATAGCATCTAGTTGCTATGGCAATTGCTAGCCGCGGGAAAAAAATCACCAATATTAGCAGCCGCGAATATAACCCAACCTACGGTAATAGTAATAACTATTTCATCGCAATTTTTAATACCAGCAAAATCTACCTCATGCTAAAATCGCAAAATTTAGTACCCGCAATTAAAAGTCACTCTAAGGTATTTGCAAAAATTTAAAATTTCTAGTTATATGGTACACTGCTACTAAACATAGATACAAGTGGTGTAGTCTTTTATGTACATGTATATTATAAACAATTAGATATGATACTGTACATGTCACTCACCTACATGTACATATAATTTTAACTAAATAGCATGTGCAACAAGAAATATATTACTTAAATTATTTTGATAAAGAACTAACAGTATCAAAGGTATCTTCTCTTTGCTTTAGTAAGTACTTGATAATTCTATTACATTCTTCAATGACCATGGAGACATATTTTATCACCTACATAAAAATACAAAATGAAATAATAAAAATACACAAATACCCATCAAATATTAAGCATAACTACAACATACTAGTACAATGTAGCTACAAGTACATGTACATATATGCTAACATTATCACAACTACCTTAAAGCCACTATTACTTGCGAGTACTAATTTTTGCATTTTGTTGCGAGTGGCTTTAAAATCGCAAAAAATTGGTACTCGCATTTGTCAATAATTTAGGTTTATTAATAGCTATTAATTGAAAAAAGAACGAAATTGCAAAAATTAGTACATGCTAAATCAATACTATTAACAAATTGCAAATATTTGTCTACTTAAAAATAAGTGGCTTTAAGGTATATGTGTGGGACAAAGGATCATATCCATAAAGCAAAGCGCTACTCCTGTTATAGTAAGATGTAGATAGAGCCTTATGCATACATGTATAAACATGAGGTTCCTATGCAAATAAAGCACCTCGTGTTTCTTATTAACATCAAAGGAATTTATTCATGAGTAGTCTATTGTAGGCATAGCAATACATATTGTGGTACAGTGGTATGATGGATACTACAAGTAGCTATATAATGGAGGTTGAGCTATTGTACATGTTACATGATGTGCATGTGCCTGTAAGTAACATGTATAAAGGTGTCCTTATTACACAGGCTATACAGATTCATAATTGTTAATGTATTTTTATTGTAAAGTGGCTCCAATGAAGAATCACAGATGTGACATACACCAGCACACTGAGTGCATTCACTGGTAAAACTCATAATGGGTGTGGCTTTAGTCTATCACCACACCCACTAGACGCAGACAAGCAGGTGGCTATTAACATGTTCCTTGGAGTGTTTGTACCAAAAGAAGGAGAAGCAATGTATGGGATCTATCAACTGATTATTATTGTACTGTTGGACAGCAAGGGAACCGCAATCACTGAAACAGTTTAAGAGGTGGCATGCCTCAGTACATTACATGTAAATGTACATGTACATATATCTCATAAAGTTACTGTGTGTTTGATGGATCAAGTTATTTGTATTTCTTAGTAGCACTGTTTTATAATAATGTTAACTCATTATTCTTTTTTGCACTAGCCTACAAGTGCATGTAACTAGTAAAATATTTTTGTGTAGCACAATTTTAAAAATAATGTACCAGTAAAGTGCAGTTTGTTCTGAATAATTGGAGTAAGATCTATTTTTTACTTTTAGTCCTACCAAATGGTAGAAAGATGAACTAATGTCATTACATGTATTATACATGTACCTTAATTTGCCACAATATGAAGGACAAGGTTTGACGTGCACACATTAACTTAGTGTAATGTATTTTCCAATGCATGTGTGTGACTGTGTGTATACATGTATATGTACATTGTAATTACATAGTGTAGAAACCTTAAGCTAATTCCAACCAAAATGGGATTATTTATCAATTTTAAAAGTAGTTCTGAAATTGGGCAAAAGTCCCTGTACTATAGTGTACATGTACGTCTGGCCGAATTTTGCCAAAAATTGGGAAGGGGAGAATTCTCCATTTATACGTTGTACATGTATTACATTTCCTGATACATATAGATGTACTTGTGATGCATAAAAAGTTTGAACTCGTTCCAATTAAATTTAGATTTTTACAATTCAAAATTTACTTCAAAATAATGATGTACATGTACATGTACTGGACATTCCACAGACTCCACTCATATTTAACTTCTGTACAAAAATGACAAGTACCGTAGAACATGTAATGCCCCAATTGATGTAAAGGCACTGTACATGTAGCACATTGTAGTGAGTGTTATATAACAACAAGTACTTCTTGGGAAGGAGACATTAAATCTAATGACGAGCTCTCCTGTTTTCTTAGGATCCTCAACCAGTGGTATACCCTCTTTAACAAGCGTTAACTCTCTATCAGAATGTATCAGATTTTTGACCAGTATTTGCACTGTTGTGTGATATCTATTGTCTATAGTGTCAGTAATTTATTGGATTTATTAACTAAGGTATGTTCACGTACATGTACATTTAGTTTGAAATTATTGCACATCTTACATGTACATGTGTAGTTCATGTTTAGCAATAATTTAAGAATTATCTTATTAATCAATAAGAGGGAAAAGGTGGGTCATGGATAACGATCATATCATTACTTATCAATAGTTTTTTGGCACAGTGAATGATGAACACTTCAACAACTTGGCTGCTATTTGGCAGACAACACAAATCACTATAAGAACCACACAAATTCCATGGAAGTTCCCACGCACACTTTCTCAATTGGCTCGCTTATAATCTATAAACTCTCAATTTTTTATAAATTTATAATGAAAAATGTGAGCAAAAACTAAGATGCTGAATGTATTAAATTGTAAATTGTGCATGTCCTATAGTGCTGCATGAGTTAATTATTATTCTAAAGTCCTTGGACTGCAATCTGTCTTTGTAGTAGCAGGTTACTGGCTTGCACAGTAAAAGAAAGCCAAATTATCACAACCATATGTTGAGAGGAGTGGATTATAAAGAGCCAACTTTTTAGCTTCTTCTGGATCCATTGGCGCGTCAAACTTCAATCGATAGCATTTATACCTACCAAATAAGGCATTAATATTAAAAGATACCAGTACTAGTTCCTTAGTAACTTTAGTACCATCGCATTTGACTGGTAAATCATAGTAACTGTCACAAAAGAACACTCCAGATGAAATGCCAGTTTCATCTGAATATGCAAGCATATTAGATTTACATAATGGGCCATCATTGACATATTCTACCTCCTTCCTTTCGAGAACTGTTTGTAGTCGATCAAGAATCCCCTTCACTGTTTCACCATTCTCACTGCTGTATGTACTGAACCATGTGTCATAGTCACTGTTCTCAGATACATGGGAAATTGCTTTGAAGGCACCAGTAGTGCATATCTTCTTGTGTGCTTCAAGTGTCTCACTATTCTTCCTATCCCCGTTGATAAACTTGGCACTTGAGGTGCAGGTTTGTGTGTAAACTTTTGGTTCACTCTTACCTTTTTCTTGCGAGCTAGTTGGTTTAAATAGAAGACGAGTATCTTGCAGGCGAATTTGAACAGATTTATGTACAAACGATTCCTTAAGCTTTTCAATAGACATTCGACTCATCTCTTTCACTGACAGATACTGTACAGGTCTACTGTATTGTACAGTGTAAAGACCATCAGCATCAATGTTAAAGGCATCAGTGACTTGGACTGACACTGACATGCTTTCCCCTGCCTTCAAGAGAACAAACTCGTCCTTTGTAGGAGAAAGATAAAAAGCGTAAATACCTTTATACTTCAGTGGACGACCATCAAGATAGACAGAAATGAATGGAGAGTTGAGTCCTTCAAGGGGAGTGTTACGTTTCAGTAGATAAAGATCCTCATTCCCATTGTTAGTGAACTCAAAAGAGCAAGCAACTGCAGAAAGAGCTTCATTACAAGCCATGTCAAGGGAGATTGGCCAGCCATTAGCACTGCATGTACAAAAGAAAAGTAACATTCATGTGTAACATACATGTACCTCAAAGCACAGGTCAGGTAAGTCACTAGACAGAAGAATGAGATTAGAGTCTTCATGATTCCTTTCCTCTCTCAATGGTAGATATATTACTCCGCTGATTTGAGGAAGGCTAGTCCACTTTTATAAAAAAAGAAAGATTTCCTCTCTATGCTACTAAATTTAGACTTATAATCAAGAAATCTACTGTTTGCATTATAAGTACCAATGTGTCTTTGTTGCTATAAGTTTAAACTTTTAGACAAAGATGTTATTGTTGCATGAAAAGGAACAGTCAGTCTTTGTTTGTTTATAAGTCTATGAAGCTAGGAAAATGAATGAGCTATTGAACAACTTGGCTGCTATTTTGGCAGACAACACGAATTACTACAAAAACTACTACACATTTTCTTTCACTGCCTGTTATACCTGTCACCTTCAAATATGACAATAACTTTTAGTAAATTTTAACAATAAAACATTGTGCAGCAAACAGTAGCCAGACCTGGCACTGCTTTATACAATACAATTATTATTAAGCACAGAATAGGCATTTTTCTCAATAAAAAGCTTATACAATTTGAGCGGATCTAAGAGAAAATGCATTGTGAAAATGAAAGCCAGTATTAAGCTTATGAAATAACATAGATAGAAGCCCATGCATTTCCAAATTAAAATAGGTGGAATTGTATTATACATGTACATGTAATTTTAGTATTATAGATCAGAAGAATCTGTGTTGCAATAATGTACGTGCTTGTAATTATATTGGCTAAATACAGCATTCTGCAAGCCTCATGCATCTCATCGATCAACTGCTTGAAGTGTGCATATCTACTGTCTCAAATGTGCATGCATCCATGTACACTAGGCAACATGTTGCTAGCAACATGTTGCCTAGTGTATGGGGGCCTTTAACAATCAAGTCACAACAGAAGCCAGCCAATGGCAACACATTACTTAGCTAAAAGCTGCATGAGCATCTACTATTGCTATGATAATATTATACTTCTCTTCAAACCTTATATATCATGTTAACAGAGGTAGAGATACACTCTATACTTCATTTCTTGATGTACATTGTATAGCAACAAAGTTCAAAATTGCCAAGTGGATGGACACCTCTTTGTAATAGTCATATGTTTATATTTGATTAAGCTTTACTTTCATGCTATCCAACATTGCTCCACATTGGTGTATAACACTAATCACAGTGGCTTGCAATTGGGAAGTCATTAATTTTATTTTCTTTGTAATCCTGTCATCCTCCCAATAATTTTTGTATCAGCAGATTGTTTATGACTGAATTTTATTAATAAAGACAAGATGAAGTCACAAAATGTAATAATAATATTAATGAAAGCAATGTGCATGGCCTATAGTGTTGCATGGTACTCTTATTGTTCTTGTCTTGCAATTTGTATAAATGAAGACTTCATTGGCTCAGCTATTATAGCTTTCACAGTAATGATAGCTATAAGAGTCAGCATTGACAATAGCTTTGTCTGGAGTTCCATAAGCTAAAAACTGGCAACCTATTGGTTCATATCTGAAATCTTTAGTCCAGCCAAGTGCATGAGCCCATTCATGTACCATCACTTTTTCCATTGTGTGTTCAGTCCCCATGCAGTTGACTGGAATTGTATAGAAAGGGCTACAGAGGTATATGACATCATTTGGTTTACCCTCATGTACATAAGTATATGCGAACCAACAGGTGAAGCAGGATTTACCGTTATTGTTGTACTTGACTGTGTGGCCTAGGGACAATCCAGTTTCCATTCGTTGGTATGTAGCTTTACCTTTTTGTCCTCTTTCAGGATTATAGACACCAAACCACTTCCTGTACAATGGATTTTGATTTATTTTGTTATCAATAATATTACTCATTTGGCCACAGATCCTCTCATGAGCTTGCAATACTTTATTATTGTTCTCAGTATTGCCACCAATAAAGCTGGCACTAGCGCAGCTCTGAACTTCGACTGTGTAATCTACTTTACCTATTTCTGGCTCTTTGGGTTTTGTGAGTAACTGAGTATTTGTCAGATAAATGTCAGCAGATTCTGTTACAACTGTTGATTTCCATAGTTCGTCAGTAGGAGCTTGCTGTGCATTCATCTCATTTACTGACAGATACTGTAAAGGCTTACTGTATCTTACAGTGTAGAGACCGTCAGTATCGAGTTTGAAGATGTCAGTGATTTCAGCTGTTGTAGAAATGCTCTCACCTGCCTTCAAGAGAACAAACTCATTTTTCTCAGGAATAGGAACACGATAAACAACTATTCCACTATATGGGACGAGACCATTTGGATGATGAGTGACATCAATGAATGGAGAGTTGAGTCCTTCAAGAGGATTGTTACGTTTCAGTAGATAAAGATCCTCATTCCCATTGTTAGTGAACTCAAAAGAGCAAGCAACTGCAGAAAGAGCTTTATTACAAGCCATGTCAAGGGAGATTGGCCAGCCATTAGCACTGCATGTACAAAAGAAAAGTAACATTCATGTGTAACATACATGTACCTCAAAGCACAGGTCAGGTAAGTAACTAGACAGAAGAATGAGAGTAGAGTCTTCATGATTCCTTTCCTCTCTCAAAAGTAGATATATTACTCCACTGATTTAAGGCAGGCTAATCTTCTACTTTTATAAACAAAGAAAAATGTCCTCTTTATGTTACTAAATTTAGGCTTGTAATCAAGAAATTGACTGTTTGCATTATAAGTACCAATGTGTCTTTGTTGCTATAAGTTTAAACTTTTAGACAAAGATATTATTGTTGCATGAAAAGGAACAGTCAGTCTTTGTTTGTTTATAAGTCCATGAAGCTAGGAAAATGAATGAGCTATTGAACAACTTGGCTGCTATTTTGGCAGACAACATGAATTACTACAACAACTAGACAATAGAGATCTCTGTCTTATATGTAGTACCATTGGCACACTTGTGAAGCAGGAAAATAATTTTTTTTGGAAAACTTAATTATGATCAAGGTGATGTAGCTCATTAGAAATGTAACAAAATTATTTCTTAGCCATTTACTGAAGATTCAAATTAGATGACTCATGCCTCAGGAAAAGTAAATGCGTGGGTGATATATGTGGGCGAAGCTGACTAGCTGATAGAAGCAAAATGGTGGTCAGTTGTGTTGATTGAACGAGGGATAAGTTTGAACCTATAAATAATTAAGAAACAAGAAACTTAAGAAGTATCAGCTATGAGAGGACCCGGTTTCAGGGGCAGCTATGGAAACTAAGCACTCCTTTCCCATTCACTCATCAGTAGGCTAGTTCTAAACGTGTACCAGTTCCTCCCATTTAGCTGTAGTCTTGACCGGGAGTACTGGTCAAGTTAGGGAAGAGGAAACTTGAAGAGAATCAGCTAAGGCTGGGTTTACACAGCAACGCAAAATGGATCGTTTTTAAAACTATACACTTTGAACATCATTTTCATTGCCATAAAGCATAAAACAGTTACAAAACTATACGGATAGCATCATTTTCGTTGCTGTGTAAACTTAGCCTAAGAGAAGATCTGGTCCCTATCAGGGGTAGCTATGGGAAATACAGGAACGTTAGCACTCCTTTCCTATCAATGGATTATACTGCTTTTAGTTTGCTGTAGGATCTCAGCCAACTGGACTAGAATTCCCTTCTCCTGGTCTTCTACAAAACATGAACATGATTGTTTTCATCAACAACATTGACAAGAAGTTACTTGATATCTGTGGTGATCTCATTTTGGAGTCTGGAGAGTATTAAAAATGGCAATTCACTTAAAAACCCGTCACTCCTGATGTCATTCCTGTTACTCACGTACGTCGACTTAAAGAAATATCATTTCAATTATTGGTTTGGATTCCCCGTCCTCTCTCCCTCCAGTTCATTCACTTCTAGATCTATTAGTCGTTTGGATACTCTTTTAAAGACTCCAACCTCTAGCAATTGGTATCTCATTACAATGGCTTTCAATCGGAACACAAAGTATTTTGTTCTTCTTAGTCGATCAAGAAGGTTCTCGATTAACTCCAAAATATTCGCCAGGTTTTGAAAAGGTATTAATAAAGGGAGTGATGGATTAACGATTGCTTTCTGTGACCCTAGTATTCTTAATTCTAATCTAGGCTGGCCACTGAGAAATTTCTTGTACTTCATTTCACATACTTGGGGTAATGTTTTAAAGGAAGTTGACATTCTCTGTTACTGTGGCAACACGCAAGATTGGAAGTGTTCGAATGGTCGTTTTGGTTGGTGGAGGGCATGGGTCTTTCTAGTCATCGTAGTGATGATGATCCTTTTTCTAAAATAACTGGCTGGGACAATAACAAAGTAACTGACATTAATAATATACATGTACATGTACATGCATTGGCGAATGCCATAAAAGTGGAGAATTGCCTCATTTTCAATTTTGGTGATATTTGACCAAAGTCCCTGTACTTTGTGTGAAAATTCCTGTACAGGGAATTTTCAGATTTTGGATCATGCAACAATAAATTGTGTGTTTGTTCTACCTCTGTGTTTTTGTGTACATGTATATGTGTATGTGATTTATGATTGAATAGTTTTAATTAATGGTTCATTAATGTGCATTAATGGTAGTCGTTATTAGGAAGTAAGATGTATACGTAATTAATTATATAGTAACTACCCACACACACACACACACACACACACACACACATTCTTACATGTATTAATAATGCTAAAATCCTGTTGGAAACCCTCGTGCACATATGCCTTACCATTAGTGATTTTGATATACATGTACATGTACAATGTAGCCTGAAATTAGTGAAATATTCCCATGAAATTTACATGTACATCAAAATTAGAGAATCAATTTATGTTGATAACGTGACAATGGGGGCACAGAGTGAGTCAGAAGCCTTAAAGTTGCATCAAGAATCAAAGGCAATATTCTCTAAAGGTGGATTCAATCTCAGAAAGTTTACTAGACTCAATTGTTTAGGCGGAGCATAAGATATTAGAGATTATTTGGGATTTTGACATGGATGCGTTGATATTTAATGTGAAGTGTATACTTAATGAAATGAAGCATCGCAAATGGAGCCCACAAAACATAACGTTATCAGTCTTGTTACTAAGATTTTTTACCCTTTGGAAATCTTATCACCAGTTTTGATACCTTTTAAGATGTTCTTTCAAGAATTGTGTCAGAGTAAGGTGGTGACCTGGGATGAAGTGCTAAGATAAGATCTTCAAGAAATATGGAGAGACATGTTGAATGGATTGCAAATGGAGGAGTCATGGAAGATACCCAGACGCTATCTGCCTACAGTGAACGAAGGATTTAAACTGATTGGATTTTGTGATGCCTCCATAAAAGCTTATGCTGCTGTGATCTATTTACAAGATCACAACCAAGACTGTAGTCTTGTTGCCTCAAAAATGAGAGTTGCATCAGCACAAGCGCAGTCTATTCCTAGATTAGAATTATTGGGTGCGATTTTACTGTCTAGACTCAGCAAATGTTAGAGAGATTTTTGGGTGTGTAGTGAGTGAGTGTGAGTGTTTCACAGATTCCTCTATTGTTTTACACTGGATTCGAGAAACTGACAAAAACTGGAAGCCTTTTGTTCGGCATCACATAATGGAAATCAGAGAGAAGATTAGAGAGAAGTGTTGGAATCACTGTCGAGGAGAAGACAATCCAGCAGACCTACCATCACATGGTACTACCCTTAGAGAGCTACAGAAGATGCCAGAGTGGTTACATGGGCCCACTTGGCTCAAGGGGAGAAGCAAGATGCTTTCAATCCAGACACAGCCTTGCCTTCAGAGTGTTTAGAAGAACTGAGATCTTGTGATAGAAACACGTTAACATTCCCATTGTTTGAGAGAAGAGAGATAAGCATTGGTGCAGTAATTGATATTAACCGATTTAGTACTTATGAGAGGCTCATTAAGAGCACAGCGTATGTTTTGTTATTTTTAGGTATTCTCAAGAATGGAGTTACTGAATACTGTACTGGTCCTGAAGGAAGAGATGGTAAACAGAGTCCTGTAGTCAGTGAAGAGTTGAGGAGTAGAGCTGAATTATTGTGGATTCAGGAGACCCAACATGGAAGAATAAAGAAAGAGTGGATGCCACAGTTCAGACTACATGTATTTCTAGACAATCAAGGTGTATGGAGTTGTAAAGGAAGATTGGAGAATGCAGAGCTATCCTATAACACTTGCTATCCTATTGTACTGCCTTTAGTGGAGCTATTCACCAATAGTGACTAGTTCTCTATCTGTTAACTTCTTCTATGGGCCTCTACCTCAGAGCTCTTTGCTGCAAATAATTGCTGGTCCATGTGCTGGTGATAATCACGCTCAAGTCAATAAACACTAACTGGAATGGGTGGAGGGTTCTAAGATACAGCAAGACAGTAGTTCTGAAAAGAACTGGTTAAAGTAGCTCCAAAGAGACCAAGAGTTACTAACACAACTGAATAACAGTTCAACAGGGTGCTTTCCTTCTACTTTGCCATTCTCAATCAAAATAGCATCTACACGTAGTTGCTACGGCAATTGCTAGTAGCAGGAAAAATCACAAAATATTGGAGCACAAATACAATGTACATGTATCTCCCAACCTACATGTACACATGTACGGTATTAAATGTACATTACATGTATGTACCAAGTTGCAGGTGAGGAGGTAGGTAAGGATCACAACTAACCTAAACAATGTCATAGTCTTGCCCCGCCCTTCACTAGAGACTAATGATGTCATTAATTCATTACATGATTCAACTGACTCAAGAATGTCCTTATAACAAATTAAAAAATACAATAAATATTAATAAATAATTAATGAGTAGTACACCTTAATTTACCTCTCTCATATCAGTAGCCTTCTATTTCAAACTCAGAAATAACAAACGAAATAATCTACAATGCAAAATAAATAATATCATTATACTTATTATGTACACATACTGGTAATATTCCCATTCAGTAATAATAGGATATAGATTGAGAGGGCTCCAGTGATTATAAATATAATTACAGCAATTAATGGACCAGCGATGACCTAATTCACCCTACAAGGAATAAAGAAAAAAATATCATACAGTGGAGCCACTATTATGGACACTTTGAGACAATAAAGTTTTCTATACAGAAGTCTCCTTAATGAGGAGGTTATTTTACTAAGTAAATAATGTAATTGGTACACTAGGTGCGGTCCGTTAAATGAAGGTGTCTGTCAGGGTGAGAGCTAAACAAAATATTGTAAAAGATTACAAGCACTAAAATAGAACATGGCTTTCGAGTAATTTTAAAATTCAAAAAAATCTAAATTCAATCAGAGTCAGCTAAAAACTTTTATACAACGTGAGATCATGTACAATTATGTACAGCTAGTATATATGCATCAAAACAAATATTACTGTAGGGTGCCTTTTTTCGAAGACTGTAAATGTTGTGAATTTGCCTTAAAATCTATTTTGCAGATTTAATTCTCGCGAATTTATGCTATCTGCCATCATAAATACTATGCTGCCATCTTATACCGGCCGTAATAATTTGATTTTCACAGATAATTTTCACAAATCTTCACAAATTGGTGAAATCCACAAAATTTACAGCCCTTAAAAAGCAACCTATGGTATAATAAAGAAATCTCTCAATCTCTCCTAGTCATTTTTGGCAAAATTTCGCCAATAACCCTATACAGGGACTTTTGTCTAATTATTGAGCAGCTTTTAAAATTCATAAAAAATCCAATTTTGATAAGAATCAGCTCAAACTTGCTACACAACATAAGTACATGTATATGTATCAGTAAAAATTATAAAAATGCAAAAGTCTCTCCTAGTCATATTTTAGCCATGATAGTACTGGGTCATTCAGCACAATACCAAAATCCCAAAGAAACCCTGGTAATAATAGTAACTTTAATGCTAGGGTAAATGTACAGTACATTGTATACTAACTGGAGTTGCTGAAATGCTGGAAAGTTGAAAGTTGAAATGTTGAAAGTTGCTGGAGTGCTGAAAATCCTATCCGTTGCCTTAGCAGTCAGCAACTACACCTCCAGGAAACAGGAACAAGGGAATAGTGATGGTACACCATTTTTGAAAACACTATCCTATGGAACAAAACTGGAGTGACTATAGTATACTAAGTATAATCAAGAAGAACATTAATCATTCATTAGAAATTAAAGGATCATATTACTAAATTTGTAATTTTTTGTGGCCCAAAAATTCAGCTAATTTTTAATCTGTACATGTACATGTACATAAATTTTACACTTCTATTAAGCAAAGGTAGTCCAAGGTGCATTCACAAAAATCAAAATTGTAAAAGAAATATCACTGGCTATTTGCAAAATTTAAAAATTTCTAATTATACATTATACTGCTATTGCACTCCATAGATACCAGACTAGATGTGAATAAAGTCTTTTAATTTAATCTTATAATCTAGCTTAGTTGATTTAATTTAATTTAATCTTTTTATTTTTTGTACATGTACATGTAATTATATATTTATGTACATGTACTTATAATTATAATTAAACATGTGCAACAAGAAATGTAATAGTATTTTAATCATTTTGATGAAGAACTAACAGTATCAAAGGTATCTTCTCTTTGCTTTAGTAAGTACTTGTTACTCTAATTTCTATTACATTCTGGATTGAACATGAAGACATATTTATCACCTACACAACAAACATCAAAAATAATAAACATACACAGATAACCAACAAATATATTAAGCGGAACTACAACATACAATATGTAGCTACAAGTAGATGCATGCTAACAATATCACAACTATTATGTGTAGGACAAAGGATGCTATTCATTAGACAAGGTGCTCCTCCTGTTATAGCAAGATGCAGATAACTCAAAGATGAGTGTACATCTTAAACTGAAGTATCAGACACTTGACATACACAATACATGCATGTACAAGGAAACATTAGCGGTGGAACATAATTTATTTTGGCGGGCTCAACATCAGTCAGGTTATTGAAATGGGTGTGGTTTTATACAAAAATGGCTGCTAGTTTCTGTTAATGGAATTAGACTGGTTTTCTTTGTCTTTTCCTCTAAATAAGATGAAGAAATGATTACTGCACATCTAGTTTTACTGATAAAAGTCAGTTTTATATAAGGTTTTAGAGAATTTCTTGGGGGGGGCTCAGCCCCCTCTGTTTGAAGACTGGGGGGAGGGCTTTAGCCCCCTTAGCCCCCCTGTTTGCCACCTATGCAAGAAAAATGTATTCATTGGAATTAATTGGTGCATTGGCCTCGCCACAATAAAGACAAACAATAATTGTTTTTTTCTGTTTTAAAGGGTGAGAGAGGCTCTAAGGTCTAGTACACAATATCATGCGTTGCGACAGGAAGAGCACCGGAAGTGCTGTACAAATGCTGCGAGTTAACGCATGAGTTGACCAAAGTTCAACTCTTGCGTTATTGACGTGCGTGCCATTGGTTTGTACAGCACTTCCGGTCGCAAGGCTGATATTGTGTACCACGCCTAACACATAACCCCCTGCACCATTAAAATAAATTTGATCAAGAGTTCAGTTAGGGATTGTCTACAAAGACCTCAAGTTTATACAGTGGGGGCTGAACTAGACTGACAGTATAAACTATAAACAAGCAGAGGCTTTGAAAGGCTTCGAATTTTTTCTGCACCTACTGCTGTCAAAAGACTTAATAATGAAATATACCTTACATGTAAATTGTAGAATTAATCAAGCCAAATTAATTAAGTTAAAAACAGGATAATTACGGCATAGATAATACGTGTACATGTACAGAAGTACCACCATTATCAGCGTTA